AGCCACCACAGCTGAGAGGGAAGATGGGCTACAAGAGTTCTACCTCTCACCACTTTCCACAGCTGCTTGATTCTCTACTGATAGAGAATTCAACTTCACTTCCCTGAATTGCCTATGGATAGGCCACTGTGGAAAATCTTCTCCTAGCACACGCAGCACCTCTGGTCTGTTCCCCACAAAAGCATTCTGCTGGAGAGGCAGCTCTATCTTAATCTACTATGGTAACACCTCATTTGGGAGTGATAATTGCCCCAGCCAGTCCCACACTCTTCCCTTTTTTATCATGGACACAGATGAACTGCAGCAGCCAAAACTGCAAAACATAAAATAGCCAGTACATTTTCCACTATAACATACCACAGGGGGAAAAAACCTTCAGGCTGTGTTCAAGACTGAACAGAAAAATACTTTCTCTATTTTTTTGAGGCTCGTGCAGTAACTCTTTTGTCATGGCAGTTAAGCAAACTCTGCACCCCCAACCACTGAGCACCAAAGCCAGGCCCTAGGATGACACCTTGCACTCTTCCTCACTTCACTGCCCTCCACCTCACGGAAAACAATGCCATTGTGGCATTCCCACCTAACTTCAAGGAGACACCTTTTCTATTCTATTTTAAAGGCATTTAAAAGCTTCATGTATCATTCACTGTTGCTCCTCTCAGAAGAAAAGTGCTGAGGAGAATTTATGCACCTCATTAAAAGCTTGTTTCCTGCTCTTCACGCTGTATCTTGCAGTTGTACTAGCAAATGATTTTCTCATAAAAAGCTGTGAGAAGCGGCTTCTCTTTGTAACACAGATTCAGACACAGGAAAATTACACGACCTAAGGAAACATTCCCTTGTATACCAGCTCAAGTATGCCATGACAAACGCACTTCAGAGTTTTCAATGGCCTATTGCAAATTGGAATATCCACTGCTAATAAAACCAAACCAACCTGAAAAATTCACTTCCCTGTGAGCATCTGTGTCTTCTGTGTGGGAGTGTTTCAGCTGCAGGTCTGCCTCAGAGCAACTCCACACTCAGAAAGTCCAGGCAATAAGGAATTGCGAACTGAAAATCCCCAGCAGCCCACAAAACATGCCATAGACCATACAGACATCTGGTTCTGGAGAAAACAGGTCTGTATTTCTAGGCAAGGGTGGTAGCAAGCAAAACCAACAGGGTTTCATGGGATATTTTAGCTTTCAATAGACAAGTAAACTCCAACAAGATATTGTTTCAGCCCTTCTTGACCTCCATCAGCTGACTGGAACTCAGCATCATCAGGCAATACTGGCATTTGCCTGTATAAACAGGATCCATGAAACAAACAAGTTATGAAAAGTGTCCTTATATCTGGCCTGGAAAGCTGTGAAATGACACGGAATGAACTAAAGCTGCATCATTCAAAGTAGCTTCTCCTCAGGGAAAAGCCTCAGCTTTACTCTCCTCAGAATTTACTGTCTTTTAAATATAGATAAACCCACATTTTATTTCTGCAAAGCACCACCTTTTTTCTACCAGAACGGGCAGTACAGCCTCCTCTCAAGACTCTTGTGTGTTTAGCTGGTACAACTTGGCTTTAGGGGGTGGAAACAGAGGGATTCCCAGGCTGCTGTCCATCATTACCCTTCCCTGCAGGGCTGGCTCAGGAGAAAGAGCAGTATGAGCCCAGCAGGGATGACAGCACAACACTCAGGTTTCATGTTGCTCTGACTGTGTACTGTATTCACCTATGTCCAAAGATTTGAAAATTGCATTGGTTCTGCACACCAGAAATGATGCTGACCATGACTACACTAAAAAGCAAGTTATAGATAAGACAATCCAAAATGCTTAGCATCCAAAACAACAAAGTATTTTGTTTATCCTCCAACTGCAAATAAATGTAACTGACAGCATCTACAGACAATTTTAAATGACCTCAAGCAGCCTGAGAAAAGCAGCCTGCATCTTAAAAAACAAAGGCAAATATTCATCTAAAGATCCTCAGCTTGCAATTGCTGCAGCAGAGCAGGTATTTTAATGAAGAAAGAAGCAGAAATGATGGGCTCTGTCAGTCTGTCCCACACTCCTCCCAAGGGTCCTGCCATATTCCCAGAGCAGCTGAACGGCACATGATGAACATCATACCACAGTCGACAAGCAACTAAATTTGTCCTTATTCAGATCAGCTCTGCTTCTGCTCACAAGTCTCTGAATACACCACAAAAACCTGACACAAGCCCTGTTGCCTGGGGACACCACAGGCATCAGATCATCTGTGCCCTCCAGAAGGGAGCACACAGAAAGCTACAGCTGCAAACCTACGGCTCAGCGAGCAACTTAAAAAACCCCCACAACCCCACATTATACACAAAAAAAGCTAACTGGAGGATGGTTTCTCCAGCTAATAGCTCCAGATGTAAGCTACTTGCAGCAGCTAATGGGAGAAGCTGATCATTCTCAAACAGCTGAAACCAAACCATGCCCAACTCACCCTGCAAGCATTTCTTAAGATCATGATTTTAAAAAATTCTGCGGCATCCATTAGCACATCAGTTCCTCAGTTATCACCACTGCAGCTTTTAAAATGCTAAGGAGCGGCAACAGGTAGGTTTCATCACCTTGTTTTCCCTACCCTTCCACCCTTCAAAACTGTGAAGCCCAAATGCCAGGTGAGCTGCTGAGGATCACAGCACTGAAGCTGAGGAAAGGATGCTGGATTTTCTTGTTTCCAAACAAGCATCCTCCCCTGTGTCACATCACTTTCGCTAGCTAAAGCAAACAGCATGTGAGAAATAGAAAACGTGAGCAGATGGAGGAGAGCCTGAAGGCCTCGCACAGAGTGATACACAAACCACTACTGAGCTCAGTATCACACCACCTCATCAGTAATTTACTGAGCTTGCAAAAATTGCCTGTATTTTTTGCAAAGCACAAATAAACACAGAAAGCTCACCCATTTCTTTTGTCAGATGCCTTGCAGAGTAAACCCTATGACATGTTTTGGCAAAATGAATTCTGGAGACATGTGGCTTCTCAGTCCCATGCAGCAGAGTTCTAATTATTTATTGTGAGTATTAACTCATCCTTTACTATTGAATAAAAGCTTCTACATACCCACAAAGCACATTTTTTTTCAATGGGATGGATACCCCTGCAGATCTATGCCACGGAAACAGAAACATCACAAGCCTTCTGGCAAATGCAATCTCTGTCCTACAGACTCATTTCTGCTGCTCATATGCACTCCTGCTCTCTTTAAATGCCTTAAAACAAACAATAATCAGAGATCTTAACACTGATCTTCAGGCATACAGAGTAACCTCTGTACTCACTGTGCTGAAATGCTCTGACACAGTTTTACAGCTTGAGCACCTCACAGCATTGTGACAGAAGCAAAAGCCCGCACACAGGATGGAGAAGGAAGGAGGGCACAGAATGGCAGGTGCATGTCTCGTCCCCATGTCTGTCTCAAATGGCAGGTGTGGGGCACAGTCCTTCCACCTGCCCTGCAGAATCCAGCCCCACAGTCCCAGCCCCTGGACCAATTTCCTGCCTTCAGCCTGAGCCACTCAGCCTGTAACACTTAATTCTCTGCACCATTCACCTTAGGGGTCAGGGATGTGGCTCCCTGGCGCCAGCACCACTCTGCCCTTTCCTGGCCAGCTGGTTGAAGCTGGGGGTACTGCTGGGACCCGGCTCCCCCATGGCCTCCTGCCACCCAGCAGAATGGCTGTGCGACCTCTGAGACATCAGGCACGTCCCTGGCCTTGGAGCCAAGCCAAGCTCCAGGGCAGCCAGCATCCCCAGGATTTATGCTGCACCCAGCATGCGGTCCTATTACAGCAACGCTGATAATGCAGGCCAGTAAATCATGCAAAGGGATGATACAAAGGAAAAAAAAAAAGACGCTAGAAACTCAATCTTTACCTTTTTGTTAAGTACTCTTTATGCAAAATAGTCCCAGTATTGGGAGAGTAGGCCATGGAAGCTGGAGAAGAGCTCAGCTGTTAACCAAGCAATCAATCTTCCCCTGCTTCTTCCCCAAACCGCAGGGCTCTGTCCTTCTCCAGTTTGTAATTTAAAGCCAGCTCTTGGCTTCAGACCTGCAGAAAGGCACCACTGTGAAAATGCACCGTGAGTGCCAAACTTATGTGTAGGATACACCACCATTTTAATTTTTTTTTCCTGCCTGCAGGAAAGCGGAGCAGGGTGCCTGTTTGGTGTGGGACTAAAGAGCAAAAACGAATTTCTCTCTTTGGCATTTCTTAAATCCACATTAAGGCATCGTAAACGCTAAAAGGCATTTAACAGGTACCTTAAATAGCACTGCTCTATCAAGTACTACTGCTTAAGAAAAGCTGCCTCCCCCATGCTGAGTGTGAAATTAACTTCAGGCAGGACACTCCCCAACTCCCCCAAGAGCAGGCTGCTTCTTTAAAACCCCAGCTGAAAAGTATTTACCCAAGATCGGCGTTTTCGCTTGAATTTTGCTCCCTGACAGCAACTAAGTAACTCATTCCCGTACCCTTCTCTGCTGTAACCATACCTAGAAAATGTAACCCAGCATTTTCTACGCTCGCAGCTATCCAGCAGAGACAACCTGCTTCCCCCTGCCCACTCGCCATTCCCCACCTTCTAAGCCAGTGCTGGAGGCAGTGACAGAGACCCGCTCACGCCGGGCTGGTTAGGGGCGAGCAGAAACAAATACACGCGAGAACAGAATCAATTTCAAAGAGCTTTTAAACAGACAAGTTCACCGGGGAGAAGGAAATCGGTTTCAAGGAGCTTTTAACTTGTTGGACCGGGAGAGATTTGACGGGAGCAATTAAGACTTTGCTTTTCCTGCTGGAAGAAAGTTTACGCCGGGAGGAGGGAGCGGGCACGGCGGTGAACAAAACGCAAGGACAAAACCCACCCGGGGCTCGGGGTGAAGCCCCACAGCCAGCTGAGCCTGGGCAGGAGCCAGGGCATCACAAACCCAGCTCCAAGCCAGATGCACCGGGAGCCACCAAAGTTATTTAGTGCCGTACCTCGACTGGGCAGCCATCGCGGGGTTATCCTGCCAGACGTCCTCTATCCATGAGCTCCGTCCGCAGCTGTCCAGGCTCTATCCCGCTGCCCAAGCCCGCCGTCCCATGCGCCGGCCGCCTCCCCGCCGGTGCCCGGTGCCGCCGCGCCGCGGCTCCCCCCGCCCGGGCGGCCGGCGCAGGGCTGGGGCTCGCTCATTTTGATCGACATCCGGGCGCCCGGCCCTCCCCCGGCCGCCGCCAGGGAGGGGGGCCCGCCCGGCCCCGGGGGACGGCCCCGCTCCGGCCCGCAGCCGGCGAGGCCCGGTGCCGCCGTTCGCTCGGGCCGCGACCCCGCTCGGTGTCGCCGCGGTGCCCGGGGCGGCAGGACCGGTGGCAGAGTGAGCCCCGCGCCCGCCCCGCGCCCGCCTCCCCCTGCCCGGCCGAGCGCTCGTGGTACGGCCCGGCCTGGCCCGGCGGGCGGCGGGAGGGCCGGGCCCAGCCCGGACCCCTCCTGAGGCGAGCGGGCCGAAAGGGCACGGGCCGGGCGGCACGGGCCGGGGCTGCCCCGGCAGCCGGCCTCTGCCCTCCGCCACGGCCCCGCGGCTGCTCCGGCGGCGTCTGCTTCGCTTATCTGCTGGTTTATTTGGGGTTTATTATTTTATTATCATTATTATTTGTATGGGGGAGGGGAGGGGTTGGTTTTAGAAAGACAGAATAAAACGGCACGAATTTTTCAAAATTTCGGGAGTTTCCAAATCTTCGAAGCGAGCACAGAGCCCGGCTGCAGACACCAGACACGCATCCCAGGTGTCCCCGCAGATGTGGCGGAGGAAATCCTGAGCGCGCTGCTGGAGCCGGAGCTGGAATTGCAGGCTGAGAACCTTTGGGGAAGGGTTTGTTGTGGCACATGGAGCTGGTTATGCAACTTCTGCCGGGCTCCGCTCCTGGCCGCGGATTGCAGACGCTCTCGAAAGCAGCAATACCTGTCCTTTGCTCTGGGTGTTTCTTGGCACAATTATAGAAACAAACTACTCCTGCAACTGCTCTTAACTAGGAATTAACCAAGCACTCAGCAGGCAAAAAAACATCCATCCAAGATCCCCTCAACTTTTCTTCTCGACTGTGTATGGCTAAGGTTTCTACTGACGCTACAACAACATTATGTTCCTCCTACTTTTCTTGTTTAAAGCACAGTTTGTGTCAAAGTACTTGGGAGATACCAGGAGGAGTGTTTGTACTTGATTGTTTTCCTATTCCAGATAACCTTTATGGGAATCTCGAGTCTGAGCTATCTCCTCAGAGATTAAATAAAATTCATATCAGCTCTTTCAGGCAGAATAAAATATAGCAGAAAAAAATATTCTCTAGATTTTCCACAACAGCTGAGCTTTCTCCAGGAAGAAAAAATTGTTTGCTTTCACCCAAAGTTTCTAGCAGTTTTCTACCTGCCCCCCTTCAAAAGCACTTGCACATCTGACAAATCAGTGTTTCTCCAAGGAAAGCTTTCTGTAAGAATAGGTCCTTTCACCTGTTGGCTCCTCCTTCAGTTTGTTTCCAAAATCAGCTTTTCTCACCTGGTTCTATTCACTGATCAGCCATGCAAGTGTCCTCTTTTTTTACATTGCTTTTGTAGGATGTATTGCAAATGAAGGAAAATATCTCCCTTAAGTAAAATGCAGAAAAGCCAAATCAATAAAATAAGCTCTTTGTACTCTTCAGCTCATCATAAGCTCAGAAATGCACCACTGAGCTCTCTAGTCTTAAAAACCTGTCAGGAAAGGCTTCCTACAGGTGATCATCATTCCAAATGCTATTTAAGCTGTATATAATATTTGAAGATCCATTTGTATCTGCCTATGCATTGGATGAGAATGGAGTTCTCCAGAGATGAAGTCTGTGATTTAAACACTTCACAGAAATGCAAATCCAACCAAAAAAACAAACAAAGGTGTGCAGACAGCCTGGATGCCATTTTTACTTAATTCTGAACTCCTGAAAAAGCCAGACTTCCACCCTCAGGCATCAGTGGTAAAGGCACCAGTGGCACAGGCTGTGGGTACATTATGTTTCTTTTAAGTCCCCTCTCACCTGCTTATAGACCTACCTGTACCTGGACATGTTGTTCAGAAGGATATTTCAATAGAAAAAAAAAACAAAAAGACCCAGGGGTTTCAAGCAACATTATGTCCAGATAAGGTGCAGATACTGATACATTGCTACAAAATTTACCCACAGCATCTGCAGCAGGCCCTGTAGAAGGAAGATCGGATCACTTTGCTCACCACTAACAGTGTTGGCCATACCCAGGTGTTGGTTCACGAAGGGGAATGCAGCATCCCTTAACTCCAGAAAAAAATAAAACATGACATTATCCTAATAAAGGTATGATAATTCATTAAGTTTGTGGGACAAACGCCATAAGCTTGTGGCGTTGTGAAACAATTAATCACGCATGGAGTACCAATGAAGAAGGAGCACATACCAAGCAATAGTAAAATCATTAGAATGAAGACATGGTCAGTAAGGTTTCCTGAGACACATTCGCTGTAGAGTAAAACAAGTTATTTGTTTTTACAAAGAAATAGGTCAAATCCATGCCCTTACCACTGTGGCTGTTCAAAACACCTCATTGCAGCGCACTGCGTCAGGTTTTTAAACAGACACACCCCTTTACCTTCACTCTCCAGGAGTCCCTGCTGTCCTTTAATTAGCATGTGTTCTCCCAGCCCTGTTGATAAGGAATCCATCTTACCACTGCAGTTTATTGTCGCTGATGAGTCCCTCACATTTGGAGGTGAAAAGGGTGCAGTGGATATTGTGTTTCCCGGCCTGAGGGAGCCGTGGGTGGCCTTTCATTTGCAAAGGGCACTTCTGCAGCGGGTCAGGAGGCAAGGACTGTGCTCCATAGAGGCTCTGCTGCCCAGCCCGGTGGAACAATCCCTGACCCCTGAGCCCCTCTGGCTGTCAGTGCCTTTCTGCCTTGCATCCCCCTGCTGCCCCTACGGAGAGCCAGAGGCTGCACACCTGCAGAGTTGCTTGTGTTCTGGCAATCCCAAACCCTACACAAACCTGCCAAGGACTTGATTCTCATGTGTCTTTGCCCACGGGTAGGCAAGGAGCCAGCCATACTGCAGATGTGTGTGCTGGTGCTGTAAAGCAAGGGGTACAACTCTAATGCACAGGGTTTCAAGAGTTCCACATATTTGAAGGAGTTTGTTAATCTCATCCTCAAACTCCTGCCTCCAAAGCTGAGTTGGAAAGTGAGCAAAACTCAGAAATCCATCCAGGCAAGCACACACAAAAACCAGTTCAACAAGGTAAATGAAGCTGTGAGAAATGATGAGTCTGAAGAAGGCTGAGGCAGCAAAACTCTCTGCTAACCCTGATTCAGCAAAGCACTTCCCTCTAGACTTGTTTTATTGCACCTCCTTAACCTTAGCACTTTCCAGAAGCAAAGCTGACTGCCAGGAGCACATCCTTGCTGGGCAAATCCTGGAAAGCACTTGCATTTCACTGGGTCTTACCCACACTGTGTAGCTGCACTGAGGTTAGAGGAGCTGCAGGGCAAAGGAAAGAAACAGCTGAGTACAACACTGAAAAAAGGGGTAGGGAAGAATACAGCCAAAAGGATATGTTGACTTTAAGAAAGAAGTCTAACGGGGGTACGGTCTGTTATGCAAGTAATTGCTCTGCAGATGTTAGGAATCAAACTTTTCTGAGAGAAGAGGAAAACAAGCCTTCATCTTTCAATGTCTAAATTGAAGAAAACTGATTTTAAAAAGAAACCACCTTCTTGCAGGCACCAGACTGTACTAGAGGCTACGCCCTACTAGCTTTTGGCAGCCAACTGGAGCAATTTCCATCATCTTACTTGGCATTGCTCACTTATCACTCACAATGCCTTAAAATGTTCCATAATGCCCATGAACTTTCACAAGTTAAGGTTCATTCCTTGCAGACGTATTGCCAAAAGAAAAATTATTTAGATGTACTTTGGAGAGTGATAGCAGGTGGTACAAGTGTAGAGCACACTGGCAGCTGTTAAGATCTAAATGAGAAACAAATGGAAACTGCATAAAAATTATCCTTGGGAGGGCTGGGCAGGAACAGAATAATAAATTTTGCGAGTTATATGTGTGTAAAACCCTCATTGTCCAAACTTCTAAAGAATTGTTCCTGCAAGCACTGTGCCCTAAGCATTACATCTGCATGAGGGTACCACTGAGACCCAGTGTCCAGCACTGATGATTTTTTAACAGATTCAAGTTACAAAAGGCATAGATTTTTTGGTTGGATTTAAACCTCCTTCCACTCAGTGGTTATGCTTCTAGCATTGAGGGAGGGGTTATTTTGTTTAAACAGTTCCTACATTTGTCACAGCACCTGGGAAGCCAAGATTTCAACAAATTAATTCCTAGTTATTGCCACTGTTCTGCATGTCTGTAAATTCCATTTTAAAGGCTCAGTTTGGGTCAGCTTCTCTATAAGAGAAAAAGCAGATATTGAACATCTCTTTTACAAAAGAGCAGCATTGTACACAATAGATGCCACCCAAGCCTTGCTTCAACAGTTGAAAAGGTCAATGCAAAATGCTTTCTTGGAGACAACAGTGGGAAAAGGGGAAAGTTAAGCAAGCAAACATGAAAAATCTTCAGTTTCCAAAGCAGCAAGTCATTCCAATAATTGCTCAGTGAACAAAAAATGATATCCAAACATTTATTTCCTCCCTCGATGTGTGCCTCCTGTGGGTGCACACTCTGCATTTTGGTTTGAGTGTGTTACATCCAAAATCTCCATTTTAAATTAACTCTCCAAAACAATTTTGTACTGCAAAATTAAAACACAGAATACTCGCCCCCAACACTCCCATAGAGATTTTCAGAGTTGTGTGAATCCCTAGATTCTCCCTAGCATTCTAAACCATCATTTAGCTATGATTATGTTCAGTGAAATACTACACAACAGGAAGGTGAGATGGAACATAAAGAACAGGTTGCTTACCTGAGGCAGCAAATCATTTGAATTTTTGATGTGTACTAGGTTGACAGCTTTTTCCACACACAATTCCCTATACTGATAGGGTGAGGCACAATCTTTGCATCAAACATGCAGCTTGAGAAGCTGAGTTCAGGAAAAGCTTGTGAATGCTGGGAATTCTCCTGTAAACACTCCTTTTGGTTTCAGAGAGACCTCTTAGAGCCACACACACTCATCAGTAGATCATGATGAATGTTTGCAGAATTTTGCCTTAACTGTCAAGAAACAGCAAACCAGATTTAGCAA